AGCGGGCCGCGCGGCTGACGAAGCGCGTCTTCCACGAGAAAGCCAAGGGCACGGTATCCAAGGACGACAAGTCGCCCGTGACGGTCGGCGACTTCGGCGCGCAGGCGCTCATCATCAGCGCGCTGCGCGCCCACTTTCCCTCCGACGAGATCGTCGCCGAGGAGGAATCATCCCAGCTGCGGTCTGATACCAACCTGCGCGACCAGATCTGGGACTTCGTGCGGGCCACGCGCCTCGACGACGACGCCTCCGAAGACCTCCTCGGCGGGCCCATCGCCTCGGCCGAGGCCATGCTGGACCTCATCGACCAGGGCAACAGCGCCGGCGGCGCGCGCGGCCGGATATGGGCCATCGACCCGATCGACGGCACCAAGGGCTTCCTGCGCGGCGGCCAGTACGCCGTGTGCCTGGCGCTCATGGTCGACGGCGACGTCAAGGTCGGCGTGCTCGGGTGTCCGAACCTGCCGGTCGACGACTCCGCGCCGCTGACGGCGGACCTGGGCGCCAACGCGACCGACGACGAGGGCCGCGGCGTCATCTTCTCGGCCGTCCAGGGCCAGGGCGCCACGAGCCGGCCGCTGGGGACCGGCGGGCTGGCCGAGGGCAAGAAGATCGCTATGAGGAAAGTCACGGATCTGGCGAGCGCCACGTTCTGCGAGAGCGTCGAGTCGGGACACTCGAACCAGGGCGAGTCGGCGCAGATCGCGCGGAAGCTCAATATCACCAACCCCAGCGTGCGGATGGACTCGCAGGCCAAGTACGGCTCGATCGCGAGGGGCGCCGGCGATATCTACCTGCGGCTGCCGACGTCCAAGACGTACCAGGAGAAGATCTGGGACCACGCCGCTGGCGATCTGATCGTCCGGGAGGCAGGCGGCCAGGTCACGGATACCACCGGGAACCGGTTAGATTTCAGCGTGGGGAGGACGCTGGCGAGCAACAAGGGCGTTGTTGCCGCACCCGCCGCTGTCCACGGCCAGGTACTCAAGGCGGTACAGGAAGTCCTTGGACTGAGTAAATAGGGCTGCTCTAAACCACCCAGGGCCCAATATTGTACACGTCTATGACATACATATAGCCACCCGGAAGAGTGTGGCAGATTTATAAAAAAAAAATGTACAAGTACAAGACCGCCCCACGGATGCGTCTATTTGATCTTCTTTTGCTTCAGCTTGATCGTCTCGTCGTTGACGAAAATCCCCTTGCCCTTGTACGGCTCCGGCCTGCGCCACCTCCGGATCTCGGCCGCGAACTGGTGCATGACCTCCTTGTCGATGCCCTCGAGCAGGATCCTGGTGGGCGACGGCGCGCTCGCCTTGACGCCCATGGGCACGCCCATCTCGACGGGGTGGTGGAAGCCGAGCTTGAGCACGACGAACTGCTGGCCGGGATACTGTTCCAGGTCGGGCCGGAGGTCGACCGTTGCTCTGTAGCCGATGCCGACCAGTCGGAGGACCGTCGTGTGGCCCTCTGACACGCCTCTGACGTATCGGTTGAGGTATGACCATGTTGTCCCTGTGTTTTTTTTGTCTGTCAGTAATTCTGTTTTGTCGATAGGGGGAGGACTTGTAAAAACGTACCCCACATCTCCTTTTGCCTCTTGAGCGTGTGGTCTTGCACGCTGAGCTGCGCCGTCCTCGCCTGGGTGTCGTACTCGATGTTGATGAACGGTTCCACTTCTAGGTCGAGTTTCCCTGTTGTATTTTGCAGTCTGATGGTTAATTTTTTTTTTCTCTTCCTTCCTTGATCACACAACCCGAAGCCGGGCAATCGCTCGCGAGTATGTAATGAAACAAAACTTACCCAGCGGCCCTGCCACCGTCACCGTCCGCTTCGCGATCTGCAGGTACGTCGTCGCATCCTTCTTGACCACCGGCTCGCCGATCGTGAGCTCCACGCCTGGGGGTATCGAGATGGGCGTCCTCCCGAGCTTCGAGGGCCGGCTTGTCGTCGCGGAAAAGGACCGTGTCGCGGCTGGTATTCTCTGGGAGGAGGAGGAGGAGGTCTGGAAGGCGGGTACGAGGAAGGACGGGAGAATGGCGACGGGGGAGGATGATGACGGTGCGAAAATCGTCCTGTCTAGGATCCGGGCTCTGCTGGGGCCCAACATGTTTGTGCTGGAGGTCGGGAGGCCGTGGGGATTGCGCAATTGACCTGCCCGCGCGTGGTGTCGATGGGCTTGGGGAGCTCTGGAAAAGATGGTCGGGAGAGGTTCGGGTAATTCCGTGTCTGCAAGATGAAAATATGGTCTGTGCATACACCTGTTTGCATTATGTCAGCTAGCCATTGAGGTTCTCTTCTCCAAGAGAAAGAGTCTTGATCGAACAGTAGAGTTTCGACTTCTTCAGAAAGTCTTAACCATATCTTCAAGACAAGTTGTTCTGCTGCGATAGTTTTGGGTTTTCGGTTTTTCTATCCGCGGCCCCAAAACCCCCCTGGTTAAATGGCAACTGCTCGTCGAGTGACAGCTGATTCATGATTCACATCCAAAACTTGGACTCAAAAGTCTTACAGGTGTAGACGCTTGATTTGCTGAAGTCTTATAGTCTTTGTCCTCATTTGCAGAGTCACATCTGGGTAGACGTTTAATGGCTGTGTCTGTCTAAATGTCCTGTCCAGCTTCCCTTATCGGGCCACCCGTGACAATCCCGATCATGACGCTGGATCGATCATCAACAAAACCCCATTCCGCTCGCTGTCCAAGAAATTTCCATGCGGCGGCGTCAAACGTATGGTTTCGAGGTTTTGAGGCTTTCTCATTCGGTCTGATGTTCACCATTGGGATGAATCACAGGGTACCTCCACTAACTTCGTCCGTTGCTCCTTCCTCAAACATCTAGCACAACTTATCCAACCTTAAATATTTCGTTTCAGCGCCTCTTGTTTTTCCTTTCTTCTCCAAGCGACATCAAACTTTCCCTGATTTGCTCCGAAAGCCACACCCGGACAAGACGGCCGGGAGCAATCTGGACAAGTTTCAACCCGGTGATCGCTGGATGCTCAAGTATCATCATGGCTTCTCGCAAGCTCCAGGTTACCCTGAGTCTACTGGCTCTTTTCATTTCCCTTACCCATGCATTTAGCTGGAGAGCAGAGAAGAAACCGGCCCAAGGTAAGCCGCCCTCCCCAACTCGTTTTCCAACCCACTTACACCGCCAGATAAACCATCTAGTCTCTCGAACAGAGACTTGCATCTTCAGAACATCTTCACAGTGGCGCTCAATGAACTCCAAGAACTCGAGTCGGAGCCGCTCTGCCACCGAGTGGCCGCCCGTCTTCTGGTCAACAACTGCCAGCTTATCGACGGCAAGGACGAGGCCACGATTCTAACTGACAGCGGCCGCCAAGTGCGAGACTTTGTCGACTCCTATGCCGCCAGTCTGGCTATTTGCGATCTCGAGCGAGGCAGCTTCGTCATTCCCCGCGAATGCGCCAAGTTTCGCGAGAACTCGCTCAGCCAGATCGCCATCCGTAGCCATCCACAGCTCCACGTCAGCCCCAACGAAATCGGGTTCTGTCTGTCGGCATTGGCCGCATCCGACGCTGCGTGGAGCACATGGATCAGCTACCGTCACAAGGCATTGCGGTTTTGCGAGGCGGCGAGAGGAGACAATGAGAGAGGTGAGTGATTGGTTTTTCGCCGCCGGCCATAACTGACAAATCGCAGCGCAGAGCATTCTGGTCTACCAGAAGATCACCAAGGCGATTGCCAAACTGGCTGAAGGAGTGGAATCTGAGCTTCAGAAGAGAATGGACGAACTCGACACTCGGGTGCGCCAAACTTCTGATAACATTGGGCAGCTATATCCGCATATCGAACAGCTAAGAATCGGCCTAGCCCAGGTCGAGAACTATCTCTCCAAAGACTTGAATGCTAAGCTTCGAAATTCTTCGCAGTCCGCTCAGCGAGGCCTCGAAAATGCAGAGAATCTACAGCAGCTTCTTGCTTCTCTCTTTGTAAATCTCCGCGAGAGCAGTGCCGAACTTGCCACTGCCCATGAAGTATCAATCAAGCAAGCCTCTGTCAGGGCAAACGACGAGCTTGGTGCTTTGGTTGCCGTTGTTGCTAATGCGGCTGCCTCTTCGATGGCGCTAGAGCAACAACTCGTAAGTTTTCCATCATGATACTGCGGTGGACATCCCCTAACTGATGGAGCAGAAACTCTCCAATGAACAGGCCGCTTCGCTGGGTCAGCGTCAGGATGCTCTCGAGGAGGGCTTCGAACGGTTACTTGCTTCGACAAAGACCATGGCTAGCGACTCGGAAGCCCATGCGCAAGTGCTCAAGATAGCGGCCAATATCACGAACGACCTCCTCGACACGCTCGAAGTCTCCACCGCCACTGTTGAGTCGTTAACTCAATCTCTGGGAACAGCAGGCGTTGGTCATTGGTGGAGCTTCATTTTTTATCCGGCGGTGACCCTGGTTCTGGGGTCTTACGGACTCGAACCGTCGATGACACGGAACCTTGCCCTCATTGCAATTGGGGAGGCTATTGCCTTCATTACTACCACACCATCTTTCGATCTGCCGGGAAGAGAATATTTCACTAAGCGCTTCGCTCCGGTCGGTGACGAGGAGATGTGATCTTCTCGGGCTGCTCAGATATCATACTTTGGGGTCTGGTTGTACAGTGCATACGCATAGGAACTTGGGGCACTTTGGAGGGACGGGAAGGAACATGATACTCTCTTTTATCTATGCCAGGCGAATGCAGATTTATATGCTGCCAAATAGAACATATGAATATAAATATTCATCGACAGTTCTCTGGTGTTGCGAGATGGCTGTAGTCTCGATGAGTGTGACAGTGGTACTCTGGTGTCCGTGTTGATTGACAGATTCTGAGAGACCTCGTTTTATTCAGAGATCTTTTCATTCAGCCTAACCAGGCCCGTAGTTGTCGTGGCGGCAACGTTGTCGAGGTTTGTTGCAATTGCGAAACACTTGGCTGGCTAGCCGCTATAATATGGTTACCGGCGTCACTATTTCAACAACAGGGATTGTAGTATAGTGGTCAGTACTTCTCGTTGTGGTTATTCGACACAGCGATCCGAGAGGACCCAGGTTCGATTCCTGGCAATCCCAACTTTTTGCCCTTTCACTCCAGACTCCTGCAAAGTCCATTCGCCAAGGACCAACGACCAACCACCTCGATTCTTTTTGCGTTCAACCAATTGAATGACTGTTGGGTTTGGGAGATGCTCATCCAGACAATCACCTGATTTGCGGTGAGGGATAAGATGGAGCTCAGCTTAACTCTTACCTTTTGAACGGGCCTGATTTCTACTTCTTGATACGTTAAACAGGCGAAGTGAGTGTGGGTGAACAAAACATGGCGGGCACACTCGAGCAGTTCATCCGGTTCGGAACCGACGCTTGTAAGTACTAACTCACGCATGCATCCAAGCCGGTAGGTATCAAACTGACTGACTGATGTGTAACCGCCAGCCGGCCTGGAACGCACCTTCCGCCTCCTCCAAGCGCTCGCGCAAACCTTGCTCTTCTTCCTGCCCGCCCGGGCTCTACTCTTTCGCCTCCTCACAGACTGGGTCTGGATCTGGAACGCGGCGGCCGACGAGGACACGGCCAAGCTTGAGACCGCGACGCTCGCCGCCCTCGGCGACCTGCGCGCGCGCTTCGCGCTCGGCAGGCGGTTCTTTAGGGTGTTTCGGTTTCTTGAGTCGTTCAGCGCCGCGTGGGCGCTGTTACCAGTGGCCAGAGAGGGCGGTGGGGTGTTGACGTGGCTCGAGATCTCGGCGCGGTCGTTTAATGGGATGTATCTGCTGCTTGAGACGCTGCATTTCCCGGAGGCGTTGGGGATTGGGGGGGTTAGTGTCTGGGGCGCGGAGAGGGCGAGGGTTTTGCATGTTGAGGGGCAGAGGTTTTGGTTTTTTGCGTTGGTTTGTGGTGTCATGGTGGGCGTGGGGAGGGTTGTTGAGCTTTGGGGACAGGAACGGGGACAGGAGCAGGGAGGGGTGCAGGATGGGGAGAAGAAGGAAAAAGATTTGGAGGAGGTGAGGAAGAAGAGGAGGGAGGTTATGAGGCGGACGCTGCGGAGGTTGGTTGCTGATGTTCTTGATCTTGCTGTCCCCGGTGCTGTGGTCGGGTGGGTGCCCGTCTCGCCCGGGGTGGTGGGGGTTATGATGCTGGGGAGTACGTGGTTGACGGCGGCGGAGGTTTGGGAGCGGTGTGGTAGGGAGATCGATGCTGGGAAGTCTACATAGCTACAGGATACTATTGTGAAAACGAAGCACTTGGTTACACTATATATTTGTGGAGGAGCACGATGATCCAGGTATTCCGTGGAGTCTTGAAAGTGTCTTGCAATCAGTACTTCAAGCCATTGCAGCCGAGGCCGTTAACATTCACCCTGATATCTTGAGAGTTTCCATATTAATACAGAGATCCTCTACTCTTCAAACGATCTCATACTGGTAAGGCGTCTCGAACTCATCTGAAGGTCACTCAGTCGGGTACAAACGCGGATCCCGGACCAATGGCTTGGCGCGGCCGGCTTGCCCCGCACGCTAACCCTGCAGGCACAAAGTGGGGACTCCTGGCAGAAAAAAAAAGGCGGTCAGTCGCAATCGTTGCCGCCATTCAACAAGCACATGAAATTTTTCCATCGCAACAACAAGCTTGCCTCTATTTAAGGCGCCACTTCCACGCGTCAATTGGTCGTAGGAAGCCGGTCCCATCAACTCAGCAAACCCCCTCCAACGAAAACCGCCTCATGTCAGGACCGCCGGCCTGGCTCTTCTCTAACAATCCCTCCATCACCTCCAACCCGAAACCCACCGCAACCACATCCACGACCAACGCTAGCACGATGGCGAAGTCCAAGCCTAATGGCGATAAGAAGGCGGCCGCAGCCGCCTCGAAAGTCAAGCCGCAGCCCCCCGCCCAGCTGATGAACCTCGTCGAGGATTTCCTCTCGGAGCACAATTTCGACGGCGCCCACCGCGAGTTCACCAAGCAGCGCGCAAAGAAGGGCTGGGTGGAGAAAAAGACGGACAAAACCAAGGCCGACAAGGAGCACCATTCACTCGTCAATGTGTTTCAGACATGGGAGACATCATTGAACAAGACAGGCACGGAGAACGGTGTCAAGGACAAGATCGCAAAGGTCACGACGGTCAGCAGCACGGACAGCAGCAGCGAGTCGTCGGATTCGTCGAGTAGCGACGAGGAAGAAGAAGATGATGTCGATATGAAGGATGCACCGGAGGAGTCTGACAGTTCCGAGTCAAGCAGCAGCAGCAGCAGTAGTAGCGAGAGCAGTGACAGCGAGAGCGAAAGCGACAGCGAGGAGGAGGAGGCCCCCGTGGCCAAGTTACACCCCGCCGCTGCGAACCCGCTGAAACGCAAGGCCGAGTCGTCGAGCGAATCTTCATCGAATTCCGATTCCGACTCTGACTCTAGCTCGTCTGAGGATGATGCCCGGCCGGTCAAGAGGGTTAAGGCTTCCCCTTCAAGCTCGGATGCAGAATCGGACACGTCGTCATCGGATTCCGAGTCAAGCTCCAGTTCCGACTCCGACTCCGACTCCGATTCGGATTCCGACTCGGAAGCGGAAAAGAAGGCGGCTGTAAAAGAGGTGGCCAAGGCGGCTGCCGTCCCTCTCCCGGCGAACAGCGACTCGAGCTCCTCCAGCAGCGAGAGCGACAGCGATTCCTCGTCCGACTCCGAATCATCCAGCGACGACGAGAAGCCAGCGAAGAAGCCGGAGCCGGCTGCTGGGAAGACAGACGTCCCGTCGGGCAAAAACTCGGAGACTTCAGCCACGGTCGGCAACACATCGCCCGAGATCTTCCCCGTGGGCACGTTTGCCCCTCTGCCGCCGGACCCGCAGGTCAAGGTGAACAACCGCGGGAAGGGAAACAACGAGAAGAAGACTATCGAACCGTTTTCGCGAGTCCGCAAGGATGTTAAGGTCGACCCGCGGCTCTCGTCCAACGCGTTCGCCGGACACGACTGGGGCCGCAAGGCGCACGAGGATCTTATTGTGACCAAGGGCAAGAACTTCACCAAGGAGAAGAACAAGAAGAAGAAGGGCAGCTACCGGGGCGGGCGGATTGATACCGATGCCAAGGGCGGCATCAAGTTTGATGACTAGAAGGCGAAAATTCTCTTGATTCACGGCCTGCGTTGGGAAGAGTACTGGTCGATGAGATTTAGGTGCTGTTCCGGGTACAGGGAGGTTGCAGAGCATCCTGCTCGCTTCGCAAGACTGGGAGAAGCGGTTCATAGTGGTGCGGCGTTGAAGGTTTTGAGGATTGCTGGCGATAAATTCAGATAAGACTTCATTAAGTAGATGAGGTAGAGCAAAAGAGAAGCGACCAAAGTAGACTTTGCTGGGGTGATGGGCTATCAGGCTTTGACCAGGTGAGCGTAAGGTGTATGGACATCCCCGTTCTGACCATGATACTCAACTTTTGATACCGACTCAAACATCTACCTAGCTATGTATCCAAGACTCCACTACTGGTTGCAATGCTTTCTGAGTTTCATATTCCTCGTCGATATGATTTACATATGACGGAGACTCTAGACTCTCGGGAGACATGGGGTTGACGTGAAGCGGCGAGCTGTCTTTGAAAACAGCCTAGGAGATAAATGGCTGTCTATTTATTATTCAAGACAGCATTTAAAGGCATGAAGATCCTGCATAAACAAGTTCGTAACAACCTCTGAGGTTCTACCGCGGTTGAGCGGCCGGTATGGTTCGGTTACACGAGATGGTTTTCAAAGCGGCATAGTTATTAGAATAGTTCTGTTACAAGCCTGACTCGAATTTACTTGTTACTACATACTGAGCGGCCCACCAGCGATCAAGCGGCGACGAATAGTCGATTCCCAGAGGATAAGTAGGATGGATGCCTGGCTAGTTTTTCCGTTCGGGTTTGAAAGATCGGAAAATGATTTCTTTGTCGTGGGTTCGGCGAAGGCTCATCACCAGCGTGCCACCGTATATAGTCTGGCTTTTTGGCGGCGAAGCATTTCTCAACAAGCCTGGCGATCAAAATAACCAGACTAGGTTCCACGCGAATAGTCCACGAGAGCAAGGTTCCTGTTTGAAAACCCAAGGCTCCAAGGCACAAAAAAATTGATCCTGTGCCTTGTTGGTGGCAGTAGTCTGACACGGAAGCCCAACCGGTCACGACGTGTCCCGGATATTTGGGACGAACGTGTTGCCCTGCCCCTGGCTGGCTGGTTGGCTGGCTAACCCCCCGGTCCTCCCCTGATGAGTCTCATCAGAGGTCGACAGGTTTTTCGTTTCCACTTTCCAGGCTGTGTGTGTCGCGAAGATCGTGAGTGGGCCAGTCTGGGGATTCTAAACTCCCGAGTTTGGATGCAGGTGTACCTTAGAGTGGGGCCCCACATCCGGTCTAGGACCGGGAGAGATGAACTTGCGCCCCTGACGAGGGGCCGTCGGAGGGACGGATCTCGGGCGATATGCCATTGAGAGACCGTTCGTGCTTCATTTGGGGTGTCAGGGGTGTAGTGTCGTGATGTTGAGGCCGAGCGGGCAGACTGCGAGTCGGTTTGATTGTGGACATTGGACTCTTTGGTTTTCTTGGATTATGGGTTGAACATGGGTGGAAGACCAATAAATGAATCCAAGCTGTAGTTACAGACTGTCAGAATGCTAGGTAGCTTCCGACGGTCTGTCTATCTGAAAGGGCATGATATATTCACTCGCCCTGACGACGGACGAACGACTTGCATGTAGTCGCTGGTCCCAGCCAAGCATGCCTCTCACATTCGTCCAGCTGAGCATGCAGAAAATCAGAATGCTGAGCGTCTGTACGATATGTGAGCCAGAACCAATTGCTCCATGACCGCAGCGTAAGTTCCGAGGCGAACCGAAGGGCTGCTCCTCCAATGTAACGGCGTGGCATCCAGGATGTGTCGTGATACATCGTCAATCACAAGCTGCAACCACACAAAGTTCTTAGAGCCAGTGACCCAGGATCTGCTCGGGAACTAAATAGACATGGCTTGCCAGCCGAAATTGATCACTGCTGGAGATGTTTTCAGACTTGCGACTTTGGACCGCCGGACCGGGAGGCTGGCGGCTCGCT